GCTTGCTACCTGCTTAGCAGCATATTTCAAATGCTTGTGTGTGTGTGTGTGTGTGTGTGTGTGTGTGTGTGTGTGTGTGTTTCTCAAGTGTATCCGTATGACATACCGCCATGGTTGCTTTAGGTGAACAAACGGGTGACAAAAAGTGGCCGTCGGGAACCATCAGCATCAGCCGCTAGCTTGACATTTGGCGACGTGTCTAGCGCCTGAGGCAGTTGCCGCGGCAACAAGTCTATGGGATGACAGCACAGGAGAGGACAGGTGACAGCAGGGAAGAAACACACGTCCAAACACACACCTCCACACATACATCATGTTTGATTAAGTGAGCTGAAGGGACGGATTATGCTAATGCTAATGTTAATTCCATTCATAAATGTGTGAAACCTGACAGAGATTCAATACAAGAGCTGAGGCAAAAATTTGCTTGGATTTACGGTATAACCAAAGCAGAGACATCAGGCAAGGCCAAACATTTGTTATTCTAAAAATTACTGTTCAATCGAAATAGAAAAATAAATCCAAAGTAATGCAGCTGTCCTGATTCAATTTAAATACCTTCAATGCAGCCCCATGCTACAGAAAAATAACAAAATCAGCCGTTGGACCGCTCACAAATACCTCGGACGCCCTCCTGGCCCCACCCTCGTCTCGCCCGAATCCCCTTCTGGCCTGTTTGTCACTTAAACGAACGCTCTCAGACTGACAGGCCGACATCTCCCAGTCTTGAAAACCAAAAACGACCGGGCCGATAAATTTTTCATCCTCGCTCATCAGCGACGGACGGTCCCTCCCGAAAATTCCTCCCCGGTGCGCGTCCCCCGCGGGCAACTCCTGCACGCGGCGGAAACCCGAGGTTTTCATCCTAAACGGCGGTAAATGGCCCGCCGCACAAATAATGCATAAACAGCTGTTTTGCCCAAGTAAGTTATCCTCTTAAAAGATTCACAACCCTCTCCCGCTCTCTCTGCCGTCCGACAGACTCTCACTCGGTTAATTCATCAATTTCTTATGATAGCAACAGTTTGCCTCCACGCGGGCATTTAAGTACCAATTAGAGGAGTGGGGGAACACCTCTCAATGTTTTTCCACCCCCCCGCCCCCTTTTCCCGAAAAGCGGCGAGGGCCGTCCTCTCGCGCCCGTCAAATCCTTTACGGGCAGGTCTCGCGATTAACTTTTTAGCACCGTCAATTATTTATTCTGGATAATCGTTGATCAAAAAAGCAGGCAAAAAAAAAAACAACAACAACACGTCAATCAGTGAGGACGTCAAAGAAATCAAAACAAATTAGGGTCTTCGATGATTCTTACTTTCATTTTTAATACGTCGTTTAAGTTCCCGGCTGGTCCGGATGGCTGCGGTGCCGCCAATCGGCTGTCAAAACTTGCGGCGTCCTGGCATTGTGATTAAGTAGGATAGCAGTTGTGAAGGACTTGACTTGAAGTGCTGCCACTTGGCTTGGCCAAAGCGTCTTCGGGCAGACATTTTGTGTCTCTTGAGTCGCTCAGATGTTCCTGCCAAGCGTCTGCAAAGATGGAACAAGAAGCGGCATCTTTTTTTTTTTTTTTTTCGTGAGAATGACAGCAACAAACACGTCTGGTCAATGGAAGCGAATCTCGCTGTCTGTGAAGGCTGAAATTGTCTCTCACTTTGAATAGGGAGTCTCCCAGACGAAGCTCAGCCGAGACGATTTTGACAAGCATCTGTAACGGCAAGAAAGTCATGGCAGAGATGATCGGTGTTATGTATTTGACAAAAAGGGCACACGAGGGAACAAAACCAAAATGTAATCGAAACAAATACATAAGAGTCCATGCAAGCAGGTTACCTGGAGGAAGAAGAGCGATCTGGCCCGCAGCCACCTGGAGAAGGCGTGGCACATTTCCCAGCAAGTTCCTCAGTTCGAAGATGTCAGCCGGAATTTAAACAGGCCACAACGTAAACGCTGCGTTCCGGTTCAAGCCGCCATAGAGGATCGAGACCCGTACGCATCTCCAGCTGGGCTCGGTCCTCTATCACCGGACCAAGAACAGCCATTCTGTTCCTGCCGCCTCCACCTGTCCCACTTCCTGGCAATAAAATCTTTCTGAATTGATTGTGTCTGCGTGTGGGTCTCGTGCTCATCTCTCACGAAGCCTAACAATCGGAAACGGCTTCGGGGTGCGGTGCATCCTGAACTGGAGACGCCACCGAGACTCAATTGGAATTATCTGAACTTAGGAGAACCACACCGGCTAATTGAACACCCGCTTTGGATAGGCAAACGTCTCGCTCTCGTTTTTTTTTTGGTTCTTGGTTTTACATTAAAAAAAAGTTCTTCGATGGATTTGCACCGTTTGTAGGAGCCGTAGAAAATCCGTTCAAATTGATGGCAGAAAGGAATGGAACATCAAGCCAAAAACGAGTGAAGGTCCGGTAGAAGGAGTTCAGCGTCACCTCCAACCTTCAGGGGACAAGCTCTTTCCCTTTCCCGGGACGCCATACTTTTTACGTGTGAATATTTCATGACACTTTTAGCGCACACGCTGTATGTTCAAGGCTAACGCAGCGCCATACGTTTTTACTCTTCATCATCCCTTCTTCTTCAGCCCACCTCATGGTCTTTACTTTACTTTGTGCGTGTGTGTGTGTGTGTGTGTGTGTGTGTGTGTGTGTGTGTGTGTGTTTCATAATTGCGTGAAATATTCATAAAGCTGATCTCATGCTGAGTGGGGAGACAGGGAGCGGGGTGTTTTTGTTTGTTTTACCCTCTTCCTCCGTCTCCTCGTCGGCCACGTTCTATTTTCCACGAGTGAAAGCGCGACCAATCCAAAAGGCGCTTTTCCTCACAAGGAGCCCGAGACTTTGAAAAAGAGGCGTCCCGAGATTTGCCTTCCATTTTCTTACGAGAGACATTTGGTTGCGTCAAGGCAATTAGCTCTTTGGCGTCACCCCCAATTATCCCATTCAATGAAGCGCCTCTTCCCAGATCATAAAGGCCCGTAATAGATTTTTTTTTTTTTTTCATCCCAAGGCCTTTTTATTTTTTTTCCTCTGCTCGTCTTTCCTCCGTCTTCCCCTCATTAGGCGAGTCAACATACCGCGCCTGTGTAAAATCATTTGTCAAACACTGCCTTTAATTGGCCGGGCGGTGCGAATCGAGGGTTCGGGGTGGGGGGGCCGTTTGTTGCTCCCCTTTTGTTGCCGACCAGGCTCCTGAGTTGGGTGGTAGCGGCGGCGGTGGAAGCGGAGGTGGTGGAGGGGTTAAATGAATCATTCATTAGGGTCCGCAGAGGAAGAAGAGAAGAGACAGAGGAGGAGGATGTTCAAAGGAGAAATGCTGTTGAGGGTTCTTTTTTTTTTTTCTTCTTCGCTGGCCCGTCGGAGAAGCAGGAGGTGGGGTCTCCCCAGGGGAGCCTGGCCCATATCCAGCCGAAAGATGGGCGGCGGGTTCCCCTCCACCGTATACATCTAGCACCCCCCGACCCCACCCGAGTGCCCCCGGGCCGGCGGGGTCGGCCTCCAGATGTCTCTAATGAAGCCCCCGGCTCGGCTGAAAAACGCTGCCGAGAAGTGAAGATATTTCAATCCGACTTGAACTGCCAGAATTCAACGGTGAAAAAAATGAGCCGACGGTCTCCAGGCCGGGGACGTCCGCCAAGGCGAACGAAAGATAGAAAAAGTTGCCGAGTGCGTTCCTTTCCGTGGAGTCTTCCCTTTTGTCTGGTTTCATGTCGTCTTTCTTTTGGTTATTGCCATTGCGTTGTTTTGACAAATTGTGGAGTTGTGAAACTCATTTCGATTCTTTGGCTCTTGACTCAGCATGAGACTTGATTTTGAGTTTTGGCCGTTTGCTTCGACTGTCTTCGATATTAATTTCTTGTTTTATTGTTTGTGGTTGTATGAATTATTTTTGGCTATTTTGTATTCAGCGCTGGTCGTTTTCAAGCGCTCCACAAATACACTTGAGTTGAGTAACGCGTATGAGTACGAGGTGTCCATACGAATGCCTCACGACGTTAAGTCTCGACACATATTTTAGTATGCGTTTGACATAATTGATTATTCCCTTTGGAAATATTCGTACATTTAGTGCTTTAAAACTAGCCGCATTATTTTGTCCGAGTTAGTTTGTGGCCGCGTCTACGGGGATTTGGGGGGCTAATATGAGCGCGTGTGTGTGCTAATTAAGCTAATAGAAGTACTTTGAGAGCTTGCCTAATGAGACTAATTACGGAGGCGGCGGGCAGCTCGTTATTCACGCCGCTCATTACGAGGAAGCTGTTGAGGAATTTTCGAGGAAACTTGACACCCCTTATTTTCTTTTCTTTTAACATCATATATTTTTTTTACATTTGAGATTTTGTTTTTTTGTTTTTTAATTTCGATTGCCCCAGAAAAATACAATTGTTTACAATGATTGCAATTTTAGAATATTATGAGATTTCATTTTAGTTTTTATTTCGATCACCAAAAATATATATATCATTGTTGACGGTGACTTCAACAGCTATTTTATGATCGGCTGTCTACGGTAACTAATACTAAACATTGTGTGTACTAACTTACAACCGTCTCCATGACAACAAAGATTCCCGACTGTATAGTTACTTGGAACAGGCTCTGCCAGTTAACATTTCAGTCCTAATTGTTCACTGTCTAACTTGGAACAGGCCATTCAAAAATAACCTCGAGCCACATGCTGCTTCACCAGGATGATGTGGTTCCCATATACCAGCATCCTGCTCTGGTTGAATTCCATCACAGAGGGGGAAAAAAAAAAATCTGTCTCAGTGCTAAAAATGTTGCCGTCTGGTTCCGGGCATGAAAGTACTTCCGGCTGCCCGCCAAACTTTCTCAGCATCGATCTGACCGCGGAAGGCCTCACCAGACCCCCCCCTACCCCCACCCCCATCCGCACCGTGTGTGTGTGTGTGTGTGTGTGTGTGTGTGTGTGTGTGTGTGTGTGGGTGTGTGTGTGTGTGTGTGTGTGTGTGTGTGTGTGTGTGTGTGTGTGTGTGTGTGTGTGTGTGTGGGTTGCTTGCTTGCTTACTTGCTTGCTTGGTGGGGGAGAGGCACAGCATTAGTGGACTTATCTGCTCCACACTAGAAAAAGAAAAGGAAAAAAATAAAAGCATCTTACATACACTTCTTTTTCATGATACTCTACCTACTGACAACTAAATACACTCTTGTAGGAAGAAAAATGCTCATATTATTTTTGGAGTGGCTGCTAACAAATCACAATGACAAATTCAGGGAAAGATTAAAATGATCAATTAAAAAGATTTTGTTTTTTCACGATGGATGAGTGTAGCGTCTTAATTATACTTCAAGACAAGAGAAACATTCTGTCTGTCATATTTTTAGAATACGCTATAATTATAATGATGCAAAAATGGGAAATATTGGTTCTTATAATCGCGCTTGTTATTGTTGGTTGGTAAAAATCTCAATGTCTGTGAGTTTAGATTAATACAAATATAATCGAGCACCATAGTATTTTTTTTTTATTACACTGTGCTACGACAAATTATTTCATAAAAGGAAGAAAACCATATGGGGAAGTTGTTTGAGGGATTTTAAAATAATGCTAGTATACTTGAAAAAATATCAGACAAAAATAATGATGAAAATGAAACATTTTTAAATATAAAAGTCAACATTATTATTAAAATAAAACAAATAAAAAATAAAATTAGAAACTATTAGAAATCCTAATACCTCCAAATAATTTTTTTTTCCACATCGTAAATTGAAGAAAAATAACAATAAAACATATGAAAAATATAAAAATATAAAGAGAAAAAAATTACAATCAAAAAATAAATCACAAAACTTGAATATTATACACCACCACCCCCGGCCCACACCCACACACACACAAAAGTGCACTCCAAGTGAGTCTTCCCAACGGGACATACAAAGTGGAGGGGCCCATTATGTGCAATGACCACTCAAGTACTGGATGTCACTGAGTGTTTTGTTGCTTTTTCCATCCACGTGTGCACTCGAGTGACACGTCTTGGGGGACCTGCGCTGCTCTTTTGCCAGGCCCGCACAACAACCTGCAAGAACTCGCATACTTATTTTAGAAGCCAAGAAGGGAAATTACATTTGACTCTAGTCATTAAGATTTGTTTCCACTGTGCACAACTGACACCCCCCCCACCCAAAAAAGCTGTGTGTGATGACCCTCACACACACACACACACACACACACACACACACGCACACACACACACACACACACACACACTATTTATATAATAAGACACACAAAGGATTGCGTGTAGCGCTTGGTTGTGGATGCTCAGGGAGTGGCGGCCTCCTCATTGATTCTCGCTCACTGACTGTCCCACCGGCCTTGTCCTTTAAAAACACGGCTGTGTGTGTGTGTGTGTGTGTGTGTGTGTGTGTGTGTGTGTGTGTGTGTGTGTGTGTGTGTGTGTGTGTGGCTGAGCTACTTCTTTACATCATCTGCATGGCTGAGCTCTGAGCGCTAACACAGCCATGATTTCTGTTACCCTGGGAGACCAAGTGTTTGTGTGTGCGTGCGTGTGTGTGTGTGTGTGTGTGTGTGTGTGTGTGTGTGTGTGTGTGTGTGAGTAAGAGCAGCTTTGCTTGCAGTTTTCGGGTCACGGCGAAGTGTTTTGTTTGTTTTCTCTCATATTCTTGCCCGGCTATTTGTCCTCTCTCTGTCTTTTCACGCGATTCCTCAGGAGGACCACAACCATCACTTGACCCAAGTGGAGGAAGAAGACTGCCTTGCTGCCCAAAATGGGGTTTTCACCCGTCTGTGCAGTATGCCTGGTTCAAATTTGGGAGCAATCGGATAAAATGTCAAGGAAAAGTTAGGCCAAAATGAGCCACTTGAAACCCCAAATGGTTGACTTCTTGTGTCTTTGTCAGTAGGGTTTTTTTTTTTTTTTTTTTTTTTTGTGGGTCTACTAAAGATAGAAATAAAAGTCACGTTTTGAAACAAAAAAGCTATCAAGAGCTGAATTTTCAAACAGCAGCAGAGACAAAAACTGGGCCGCAACTGACCTGGAAATGGCCAACATGACCCTAAAATCTTTTCAGGCATGGATTGTTGACTTTTTTTGTGGGTCTAGTTACGATAGACTCCCAAATTTCATTTTTCCAAGTGAAACTGGCTTCGGTGGATGATGGCCTCAAACCAAATTGTCCGACTTCCAATGATTTTTCTAGCATGGCTTCTTGACAAATTTTGTGGGTCTACTCATGTTAGATATACCCACCAAATTTCATGATTCCAAGTAAAACAGGCTGATTTTTTTTTCTGAACATGTCCATTACATGTTGGTATCCTGTTCAAAACCTCAAAGTAGCTGTTCTTAAATGTTGCTCTCAAAGGATTCATTTCGTAATTTTTATTGTCTTGGATGCAGCACTCGTTTGGCACGTGCGTAAAGTGGAGGGGGTAAGTTGAGCACTAGGACGAGTCGCTGCCAGCCGCAAATACTGGACAGCCCCGTAAATGCAGGCGTAAAGACAATAAAGGTCCCGTTCAATAAGTGTTAAATAATGTAGCTTAAGACGCCGTGAAGCTCAGTCGAGCGGCGGCGCTCCAAACGTTCGCTCTGCGGCCCGCCGTCGCCGACACGACCTTCTGCCTCGAGCGCCGAAACGCTCCCTCAAGTATCTCCATTTGTCTTCCTCTTCGGCGAGCGCCACTCTCGTCCACCTCTAACCCCGGGAGGATGTTTCACGCTGCTCCGCGCCGCTTTTGTCTGCACTTTTTCTTTTTACGTGCCATTGGCTTTGCCGTGTTACAATTCTGTCCGCCGCCTCTTGCATCATTTAACAGAAGCCTCCCACGGCGTGATGACGGCAGACAGGTAGAGGAAGACGAAGATGAAGACACGGGGAGGGGGGGGACTGAGGGAAGTTGTGGACATGCACAAGACAAAATAAAAACGAGTGGAAAAAAGTTCAAGTCCAACTTCGATGCCAAGCTCCGTCCATTTTTTTCTGCCGTAGGCAGAAAGACTTGTCGATCCGGTCTTGCCCATCTCTCTCGGAAACTGATCGCGGCTCATTTGAATTGAAATATGCAGAAAATGGTTGTCTCCAACCAAAATGGCTGACTCCCCATTCAACTCCAGGCATGGGTCATCCATGAGACTTTTTCTCGTGTCCTGTGTCGTGATGGACACCTCCACCCAATTTGGGGCCCCGATTTACAAAGAAGATCAAGTATGAAGCGATGGAATTACAAAGTGTTGATGAAAGAGCAACAAAGGTACTGTACTGCTGCGTTACAGAAGAGAAGCCGATGGCTCGGCATAAAAAAATCCACGTTTGCTTTGTTTGAGGTTGTCCCGAGTGCGTGAAAATCGGATCGACAGGCATGTGCATTTCAAATATGGAACACCAGAGAAGGGAAACGATTCTGGCACCAATTGCCGCATTGTGCTGAAATTACCCCGACGCGGGCAAACGCAAGTTTGAAAGTTTTTCTCATCGATAATCTTAGTGTGACACCTTCTCTTGACCGGCTCCAGGTCGACCTTTGGATCTTCGGAAGTCGAGTCACATTTCACATCTGATTGCATGTCTCAGTTTTGTCATGTGTAAACCCTCAGGAAAACGGGCCCATAAGATCCGGTTCCAAGGCTGATTTTTTGGGGAGGGGTTGTTTTTTTCCCCTCACTTTGCAACCGAGCGACTCATTTCACCTTACGTCAGAATCCTCTTTTATCCTCTGCCGTGTGTATGACCTCATCATCCTCTCATGACTCATCCAAAGTTGAAGTCATTTTCAGAAAAGCCGCTCTAAGTTTCATCAACCTCCCACGAGGCGCAATGGCCACTGAACTGTTATGGATTCCCTCCTGCTTTTAGGCTGGGGGATGTGGCACATTTTTTGATTTGATTTGATTTATTTATTTTATTTTTTTGCTCAGGGTTTTGAGACGTTGTATATTTCATGTGTCCCTCACACCTCTGCAGACGCTGCCCTGAGGAGAGTAAGTCAGCCCAAATGCCGGTCTTTAAGCATTTATCCTTGTGCGATGGAGTCGAAGGGGGCGTTCACACTTTTTATCCAGTCCGGACAGAGGAAGGTGACCAAGAGAGGATGCTTCAGACATCCTACGCTGGAATTTATGAACCAACGTGCACAACTTGCAACGTGACTTGAGACCAACTCCGTCCGCTGAGGTCATTGCTCGTTTTCATCAAACGGAACTTTTCGGTGGGTTTGCTGTCTGCTGTTTTTTTTTTTTTTTTTTTTTTTTGGGTGCGAGACCCCCTGTTAAGTATACTTTTTTTCCAGGTTCCCCGCCCCCCCCCCCTATGCACAGGTAAAAAAAAAAAAAAAAAAACGGCCAACAACGAGATGCAAGAGCAGCAGGAAAAGGTTTAAAATAGGCGTAGACGAGAAGTCAGAAGAAAGAGATGAACAAAATGGAAGATTGGAGGGTGCACCTGGCAAGGGGTCAATGAAGCACTCTGCGCACATAACCAGGTTAATGGGGAAGCGGCCGGGCGCCTAGATGGGCCTGATGGGAAAAAGAAGGAAGGGGAGGGTTGTTTTGGAGTGAAGCTTGAGCGTAAAGTAAAAAGGGGAAGGAGGAGAGGGCCAAATGAGGAGCTGCAGGAAGATTCCTTTTTTTTTTGTCTGCCTTCCTATTTCCTTCTTCCCCAGTGCCCCCCATCCCCACCCCCCAATGCCTGTTTTAATCTGACTAAATAGGATAACCTGCTCTTCATAAAAAATGGATGCCACTTCATTCGACGGGACCCACCGGCTGCGCCCCCCCGGAGGCTTGGGGCCGGCCGAGCGCGGGGATCTCCGCTGCCAAAAATCACCTTCTGCAAATTTCGGAGTGGTGAGATTGAGAGGTGTAAGCAGAAAAACAGAATGGATGGTTGGAGAAGGGGAAGGAGGGGTGCGGCGGCTGCTTGCTAGGCACCGCCAGCTTTTTAGCCAATCACGTGGGGGAGTTTGTCAAGCAGGAGATTGCAGTCTGAAATATTAATGTTGAACCCGCTTACGCGCCCCCCCCACACCCCTCCCCTTCCCCACCGCCACGACCCACCCTCCTCCTCGCTCCTGGAAGGGACACTTGCCGGTCAAT